AAAAAATGCTATATAGCACTCTTAAGTATAATGCAGAAATCAATGAGTATTGTGAAAGATTACAGGCACGCTATGATGAACTTCTTGCTGAAGGAATAGGTGAGTTATTTTTCTAATATACTCTTTATATTCACTATATTTTTTACGTTTCTTTCAACTATCTTCTTATATGACGTGCATAATTCCTCTTTATTTATATCTGAGCTTTCTAAATTCATGAAGAATGGTTGAATCGGTCCTAAAGAAGGCATCTGAGTAATGGGTAGTTCAGAAATACAAATGAACTTGGACCTGGATTTTTTTTTCGGCTTAGTCTCTCTAGTCTTTTTTTTCTTGCTATTAGTCTCGCTAGGGCTAGATGCCTTTGGGAGCATATCAGCTAATACATATTCACCACTCTGTTGCAGACATTTATTATTATCCCATATATCAAAGACACGATTTTTATTGATATGGTAGTCTCTTACTATCATATATGCGGGGACCTTATTTTTAAAGCATCTGATTTCTTCGACCTGCTCCGGTGTTAAAACACTGGCACCTCGTCGATAATGAGTTTTTAAAAATTGGGTAGGCATTAATCCTCCAGTATTTTTAGCAATATTTTAGAATAATAAAAAATGATAAAAAACATTATTTATTGTTTTAAGATGACAAAAAATGATAAAAAACATTATTTATTGTTTTAGAATAGTAAAGAATGATAAAAAGCGATATTTATTATTGGAGAACGTTTGTTATTATATGGGAGAAGGCAGGCCAAATTATCGATTAATGTTTGGATAGATTTTTATTCATGTATTTTTTTTTCCTTCTATGTAACCATGCTAAGATTATATCCAATATATACACACTGAAAGATCTCAATAAAAGAGGACATCAGCTGGGTAGTGCATATGAGCAAGAGCTCGAAAAAAAAATAATATCTGTTACCGAATTTAACTCTGAGATTAATGATCTCAGTGAAAAGCTAGTAGATAAATACAATGAGCGGGAAAAGGAGTATCAGCGAAGCTATAGTGATATTGGAAATAAGATTAGCCAATTAAATGCATCCAGCACTAAAGTTAGATCTCAACTTATTTCTGAACAGAAGTTTCATTCTGAGAGTCAATGTGAGATTGAAGCCAAATTTACTGCCGAAATCAAATCGCTCAAATCTTCTATTAAAACTCTGAAGAGAGAGGCGACCCTGGCCTAGAAAGCTTCGTCCGCTGACAAGATCAAAATTCTTTTTCTTGAAACTAAAGTACGTGAATTAGAAGGTAAGTTGGAGGACTTGAAACCAGATCTGATATTTCATGATTCTGATGTAATGGGAAGAATGATAGAAGAGCCGCCAGAATAAACTTATCTGATCTCAAAGAGGTCGATTCATCACAAAAGATTCCAGGTTGGGTTAGTAATAATCTAAGACCCTCATCCACGAGCTTGGTCTCGAAGATAAAGTTATGGAATTCGATAAAAGTTTTGCCAGAGAACATATATTAGAGACTTTGCAAGAGTTATTACCCCGGAATGAGATGGTTTCGAAAAACCAAGAAGTTACCCTACCTAATCAATCTGTTTATAGTTTACCAGCAAATTCTGAAAACTTTATTTCGAAGGAAGGGGTTGCGAAGCAATTGGGTGGCGAAGAAGTGGTGCTATCACCTCAAGTAATGCCTCTAGCATCAGTGATTGTTCCTGTCATTATTAACTCTCTAATGTTGCCGATGGTATTATATTCCATACTCGCTTTTTTACTGATTGCAGTTATATGGTTTGTGGTCAGGAAATACTGGAATTCATCGAAAAAAAGTAATACTGACTATTCTCCTAACCAGAACTATTTTTATTCTCTCCAGGCATATCCAAGGCTGGGCTATATGATCGGAGGCTGGAAGAGGTCATCTCGTAACTAGATCGAATATAGGAATTGAAGTTAGCTGTATTATTGCACAAGAAAATATATAAATAATATTATTGTAAGTCTTCTTAAATCTTCACGAGAAATTTTACTTCCATCTAAGGAAGGGAGTTCAGGATTCATAGGATCGGAGTTCTGCCTTGCATCAATATCTAGAACCAGGCGGAGAGGCAAATTCTTATCAATGCACTCATGGGTATCGGGTAATCCATAAACTTCAAATAGATGATCAATTACTGTAAAGCCCTTACCTGCAACCCGAATAATATATTTATCAAAAATTTCCTCAGAATGATGGGCATCTAGAAGAGTGATATCATCTTTACTATTAGACAGATATTGAAAGTATATATGATTATTATAACCAGACTCAAAATCAAGGTCCGCTAAACCAGAGAAGAGTCTAGTTGCTTCGTTTATTTCACTGGGATCAGGCCCAGATTTTTTTTGCACAAGAAGCATGTTAGTATATGGAAGAAACTAATATAAA